TGCAGAGTAAACCTCTTTAAATTATAAAATTATATATATAAACCCAGTGGTTCTCGTGCCCCAAATGGCCTGTGGGGTCCCTCCTGCTTCCCTTAGTAACAGTGCCTCTGTCCACCACCACTGGAGTGGTTCTCCACCTGGAGAGTGTTAGCATCTCTGGGGCTGGAGGGGGCAGCTGTGGTTAGTGTGAAAGAGGTCCCCCAGGTGGTCCTGAAGCACTCCTTCCTCTCCAGTTACATGTCCATTTTTACGGTCTTAAGTGTTCATAGGTCTGTAATCCTGAGCATAGGACAGCCTTGAGACATTTCTCATTGAGTGCTTCACCTCCCAAATCCAAGACTGTTCCTTGTCACTGACTTGCACACTTAATGGCAGCTGGGGGAGTCAGGGCTTAATGTTTGTGGAAACTCATTAATGGCGGTTATTGGCTTAGTTCTTGCTGAGCATACGTATCGAGTACAATTTTGAATATAAAATTATTTACAGAAGATTATCTAGTACTCATTGATAAATTGTTAGAAAAGATGTGTTTTATCACATTTTAAAAATGTTCAAATTCCTTCCTAGAAGGCAATGGGCTTTGGAAGATTTTGAAATTGGTCGCCCGCTGGGTAAAGGAAAATTTGGTAATGTTTATTTGGCAAGAGAAAGACAGAGCAAGTTTATCTTGGCTCTTAAAGTGTTGTTTAAAGCTCAGCTGGAAAAAGCAGGAGTGGAGCATCAGCTCAGAAGAGAAGTGGAGATACAGTCTCACCTTCGGTGAGTTTTTGGATTAATGTTCAAAAGAATGGTGCCCGGCATCTCCCCCCTGCCCTTCCTGTGACGTCTGCCTCCCACCTTCGGTCCGGTCCATTCATTCTCCCTAATGGCTTACTGCCCCTCAAAAGAATTGTCTACGTTCCCCATCTCCCCCCTGCCCTGTGAAAAAGGGTATATAAGCTTCTGTACCTCACTGTTATTAGGTAATAATTCTGGGCTTCCCCCATGCTATGCATGTTAAAATTTGTATGCCTTTTTAAAAAAGTGCACAACTTAGTTCGTAAGAGTTAAGAGCATAAACTTTTAGAGGACTAGCTTCACAGGGCCATGAAGAATGATTAAACTTGTCATTTTTTAAAAATTTATCTAGACTTAAGTGCTATGATTCTAAAAAATCACTTGAGGATTTAATGTTAATGGAATAATTTACACAGGCAGATCTTTTTGAGTAATTAAGGGGAATGACACCCATTTTCTGAGGTAAGCAGGGATTGCAAATGGTGGCCTGCAGGTTGACTTGGGCTGGTGGGTTTTTGTTTTTCCTTTTTTTTTTCCCCCCTTTCATTGTTTTTCAAATTTGAATCAGACGCTAATACATAAAAGCTGGCTGCATCAGGCCTGTGTTTCTATTATACCTGGCAACACCGGCTGGGGTTGGGCAGGGCAGGCAGCTCAGACGGGCTGTGTTCCTTGCAGCCGGCACCCGCCCACTCTGCTTGGCACCCATCTGCTGCCATCACTGAGCACTGCTTTTATCTGTCTCGGTGTCTGGGTGTCAAACTCCTGTGGGAATGTCATGTCCTTTTTTTAATGTGCAGAAAATTAATACTCAGCTGAATTTTCCCCCTAAGAATAAAGATGCCTAAAAGAAGGAAATAGTCTTAACTAAACCTCAGGTCCGTTAATACTTTGAAATGCATGTAAAATGTGTGGATAAATGTAGGTTTCTTGGAGTGGGTAAGTAGTTTCAGATTCTCAAGTGGGGTTTAGGAGGGTGGTTTCATCTGAAACACCACTGGTTTTATATGAGGGGTTTGATATTTAGTATGTAATCTTTTATCAGCTCCAAAACCAGGTTTTAAAGTGTTCTCCCTTTGTTGTAGGCATCCTAACATTCTCAGACTGTATGGTTATTTCCATGATGCCACCAGAGTTTACTTAATTCTAGAATATGCACCACTTGGAACAGTCTATAGAGAACTTCAGAAACTTTCAAAGTTTGATGAGCAGAGAACTGCCACTGTAAGTTTTCATTCATTGTCTTGACTAATTCCATCTCCTTTATACCTGTCCTGCATAGCAATGTGCCTTTCATTATATTAGAGTGGATTTTGTCTTAGTGGAAGGATAGCTTAGTAGGGTAAAATATATCAAATCGAAAAACCAAAATAGCTTAGGTTGTGCTATATGTACTGGTAAAGTTGGGTACCAAATAGAATGTTATGGTTGATGTTTTGACTGGTTTGTTTCCATAGCTGTTTTTCCATGGAAACATATGTAGATAGTTGCCTTTTTCTTTAGTAAGTGTTTTATTTTAGAATAGTTTTTGTTAAGGAGGTGGGATCTTGCTATGTTGCCCAGGCTGGACTCGAACTCCTGGGCTTAAGGAATCCTCTCACCTCAGTCTCCCAAGTAGCTGGGACTACATGTGTGTGCCACTGTGGCTGGCTAGAATAGTTAAGAGTTACAGAAATTGCAAAGGCAGTACAGAGTTCCCATATAACCTACATCTAATTTCCTGTTAATTCTATTAACATCTTCCATTAGTATGGCATATTTGTCATGACTAATGAGCCAATGTTGATGTAGAACTCCTAAATAAAGTCCACACTTTATTCAGATTTCCTTAGTTTTTCTCATGATCGGATTTATGGGTTTTTTTTTTTTTTTTTTTT